ACAAATCATTTACAAATCACTTTGAAGAAAGACTAAGTTAACAAATCATCTTCAAATCACTCTGAAGAAAGACTAAGTTCCAGAAATCATGTTCAAATCACCTTGAAGAATGGCTAAGTTCAACAAATCATGAAGAAATCACTGTAACAATTTCCTAAGTTTAACAAACCACTCAGAAATTGTCTGAAATGGGAAAGAAATGACAAGCAAATCACCCTTTTATAACAAATTGTAAGCAAATCATAGTCATCATTTTAGTAGAAAGTGATTTAAGCATGATTTGTTAAATGAATTGCTTACAAATCACTGAAACAAATCACTTTTAAGTGATTTTAAAGTAATTTGTAGGGAATTTGTGAGTGATTTGTTTGAAAAAATTTTCATTTGGGCTTGTCCCAACTTTTTCTTAAATAATATAACATAGAATTCAAGCATTGATCTTAAATTATTTCTGTTGAGTGAGACACCAAAACACTACATGAAGACCATCCTAGATCTAAAATCGCGAAATTCTTCCACAGATAAATTTAGAGGAAAATGTTTTATTTAAACGTGTTTAAGGAGTATTCCTCCTTAAAATTCTGCAATAAGATACACCTTTCTTTAAATTAATGTATTTATATAATGAAAAAGGTAAAGATATCGAACTTTGATCAATCTCATAAAACCCACAAACAACACGAATCTGTGAACAGAAACACTACTGCATGGCGATTAAGAGATCGACATCATGGCTGTGTGATTGCCAGGGAACAGCAATCAACAACAATTTTAATACCACTAGCATCTGTATTCACAGTATGAATTTTAATATTTTGACAAATGTCTAAATTCCCATACAACGTTTTTGACGACATCGATAACTCCATGTTTTACGACATCTGCATATTTTAACAACACATTAATGGGTTAATTCTAGAGGAGTTCCGATTATTCGATCTATGTGCAGTGGTCAACAGCAGTGAAAACAGGTGCTTTGCTGTGATTCATGTGATTACTTTAAAAGCGATTACACAAAAGATATTTGAGAACCGTGCATGATTTTTTTTGTTAATTGGTAAAAAGTACTTGTCAGCGGGCAGGCACCTGTTATCAAATTACTTGCCCTCCAACCAAAAATGGTTGTCCCGGGCGTCGGGCAATGCTATTTGTCTAGCCCTGATATGATAGTTCAAATCATCCCAAAGGGAAAGGGGCACAATAATATGGTCGAAGTCTTGGATTAAAATAAGTAAATTATTTTATTTAGACACTTTTTCTCCAGATAAATCTGTATTGGTACCAATGGATTATGGTATTATCTGGATGTGTAAATGTTAGCGAAAAGTATGTCATGAAAATTATTTCTACATGCAATATTGTGTTTGACCGAAAACTTTTTCTTTTATCAATTTTGTATGTAGTGAAGCTTGCATGGAACCACCGACTTGTAAAAAGTATTGCATTTTGTGATCAAATAAATCATAAAGGTTTAGGAATGTGCAAGATTTTTAAGTCCCAATGACATATACTGGTAGCTGAGTTTTCAAAATTCGACTGTATCAAAATAAAACATTGCTATGTATAATATTTTACTTGTATAATGATACATATTGATCTTTTCAGAGAAGAAACATCAATTATTAAGAAGCAGAAAACATCATCGTCAATCTCGTTAGACACAGACCAACATTCATCAGCAACTTCAACATGTGCCAATGACACTTCAACAGATATGCCATCTGAAGAGCATGACTATTGTTGCCAAGCACCATCTCTTGAAGAAGATCTTGAGGTAAAACACGGATCAAAATTGTAGTTCCTTTGATCTTGGGGGCATGTTGTCTGTAGCCTACACCTGAGCTGAAAACTCAAGTGAGCTTTTCTGATCACCCATTGTCCGTCGTCCTTCTGTCCGTCTGTTAACTTTTCACATTTTCAACTTCTTCTCAAGAACCACAGGGCCAATTTTAACAAAACTTGGTACAAAGCATCCTTGGGCAAAGGAAAATCAAATTTTTAATATGAGGGCCAAATCTCCTTCTGAGGAGAGAAAGTCAAGAAAAGGCAAAAATAGGGTGGGGTGATTTATAAATCTTCCCAAGAACCACTGGGCCAGAAAAGCTGAAACGTGGAAGCATCCTGGGGTAGTGTAGATTCTAAATTAATCAAATCATGACCCCCAGGGTAGGGTGGTGCCACAATAGGGAATCCTAGTTTTACATTGAAATATGAAGGTAATTTTTTTTTTAATCTCAAGAATCATTAGGTCAGAAAAGCCAAAACTTATATGTGGAAGCATCCAGCTGGAGCAGTGTAGATTCTAAATTAACCCCCGGGGATAGGATGGGGCAGTAATAAGGTATTCAAGTTTTACACAATAGACAGTACAAGGGGGAAATTTGTCAAAGAACAGAATGGACCAAATTACTCAGGTGAGTGATGTGGCCCATGGGCCTCTTGTTTATTAAAACCACAATGGAAATCTTATCAGTTAACACAATTTAAAAGCAAACCACCTGTATAGAATTTTTTAGCAACGTGTTCCATCAAAGAAACATCCAATGATGTGCATCAATAATATAATTAATGTTTCAACATGTAAATAATACTGTATACTGTTGCTCATACAAATTTAAATAAAAGAAGAAAATGTCTCTGTGATATTGTGGTAATGTTGATATTAATTTGGAATAGATAAACCATGTGCATATATCACTGTGTAATACATGTACTATATTGCAGGCAATGAAGATACACATTTCTAAACTAGAAGAAAGGGTACAGCACCTTGAGAAGAAAGTAGAGAAGTTCGGAATTGAAAGATTTTCCAAAGATCCAAATTTGATAAATTTTTACACTGGTTTTTCTACTTATGATATTTTTTGTGCTGTATATAATGTTGTTGAGCCAACAGCCTCAAATATGATTAGGTGGTCACAGTTCAGAGAAATAAGAACATTGTTTGTAATCCTTTTAGAGAAGAGTCTTTGTCAATTGTAGATCAATTTTTTATGTTTTTATGTAGAATTAGACAAGGTTTTTTTGAAGAAGATTTAGCACAACGTTTTTGTGTGTCTCAAAGCACTGTTAGTCGTATCATTATTACTTGGAGTAATTACTTGTATTGTATTTTGGGATGTTTACCCATATGGCCAGATTTAGATATTGTTAAACAGAATATGCCAGAATGTTTTAAGACTACTTTTCCCAATACACGAGTTATTTTGGATTGTACAGAAATACGTGTGCAGACTCCAAGTGCCAAAGTACTTAACTCTCAGTCATATTCAAATTACAAGTCTCATACTACCTTTAAAGGCTTGATTGGTATAACCCCTCATGGTGCTGTATGTTTTGTTAGCAGATTATTTACTGGAAATATTTCTGATAAAGATGTAACACAAAGAAGTGGTATACTTGATTTATTAGAACAAGGTGATGATGTGATGGTCGACAAAGGTTTTTTAATCCAAGATTTACTTGACAGTGTTGGTGCACACTTGATTATTCCACCTTTTTTAGGAAATAAAGTTAAATTTAGTAAGGATGAAGTTACTAAAACTCAGCAAATTGCAAGACTAAGAATTCATGTAGAAAGAGCTATGAGAAGATGTAAAGAGTACCATATTTTTGATAATGTTCTGCCATTGTCTGTTGCTGGGACTGTAAACCAGATTTGGTCTGTGTGTTGTTTATTAACAAATTTTAAAGAAAAGTTATTTTGACAGTTATATTTTCAATTGTTTGATACTGTTTATGTGTGTGGCATGTAAATGAACATCATCTGCATATTTGATATACCAGACATGTACAAGTGAGAAGGTACACATACCTGTATATATTCAAAACAGAAACATGGCTTTAGTGTACAACACTTTTTTCCTTTGCATGCTTTGGGAAATGGATTTTTCTTTGCAAATTTTCATTGATATGTTTTCAAGTGATATAGATATTTTTGGAAAAAAATTAATATTACCATGAGATTTTATCTAGGTTTGGGTAACTTTAAAAATCTAATACAGATATTTTAAAATTTGATTTAAGTACAAAATTTTTTAAATTATACTGTATACGCAATGCTATCATAATTAGTTTTGGTAATCAATGCAATTGGAATTTCATTAAGATTTAAGTTGCATAAATTTTTCTTTCTTTTTTTTTTTTTGTATGAACATAAATGACAACTTTTTTGAAAAGGACAACGCTTTGAACAAAAACTTGAATCTACACTATATAAGGAAGGTTTTGCCTCTGATGGCTATTAAAGTGGGGTTATTTTAGTAGAAAAAAATAATGATGCCAAATTTTCATTCTTTCCCAAACATCTCCCAATTACATACATGTATAGAGAGAATGGAGTACTTCATTTATAATAAACAGATGACAGACTTTCTTTAATCAGAGAAAAGCTTAATTGAACTTTTGGATTAACAAAATTAACAAAGAAACTAAACAAACGAAAATAACAGCATGCATTTACTCACATGTACAATTTTTTTTTCTCTTTATGATCCATCATAGATGTTATTTTCAGTATCGAACACATTTTGGTAAAAAGTAATTGAAGTAAAATATGTCAAGTTTTTGTTTGATTTCCTGCCACTTTCCTGGTACAAAGTTAATTCTTTCCAGATGGTAGTCATCTTTACACCAAATGTACAAATCGCACCACAAAGCACCGGTCAAACCCATTTGACCCATTATCTGATAATAATATTCATGGGAGGATTTTAGTTTGTAGCTGTTATTCACAAGAGTTAAATATTTTAAATTTGTGATAGAATCTGCATTTGGACATTTAATTTCTAAGAGTCCATACATAGGAACAGAGTTGGGGTCTATGACTTTCCTGTCAGGAGAAGTTCCCAGATAAAAACATGAGGGATTGATGACTAACCCTGCTTTAAACACATTATTTCCTGTTAAAGTGGCGTATGCTTCTGCTGCCTCCTGTTCGTGTTCAAGTCCAAATTTCATTGCTGCTGTTTGAATTTTGTCACTTTTTAATAATGCGTCAGCCAAAGTTTCGAAATCTTTTTTCCTTGAACAAACTCTTTTAAATGTAGATGAAGTAATTCTGTGTTTTCTTGCTGAATTCCAGTAGGGATTTTTAGACTGTTCGATTGTATTTTGTTCGATGTCGTCAGAATCAGTTTTTGACACGGCAAGTCCATCATAAACATTTTGTTCACCCAGCTTTAGAGCTGTATTAAAAGTTTGATCAAGAATAGGTAAATTATAACCAGGAAAAGTAGGAAACGCAGGATTGTTTATAATTGTATCGTTACTTTCGTCAATTTTCTTTTGCTGATAAGAAAGAAGGGAACCTTTAGGCACTGGTCCAACTTTTGATTCAATGGTCTCAATGGAATTAATTTTGGAGGAAGGTGGCAGTATGGTTTTAAATTGAGCATTTGTTGCCATTATATTTTGATTGAGAGATTCCAAAATGTTCTGATATGGTATAGGTTGCTGTATTGGACAATAAAATTTTGATTTCACACCATCTGTTCTTTTTATTTTTTTACAGGTAGTTTTCTGAATATGTACATCCTCAACTGCTTCAGGACGGATACCCTCTAACTGTTGGGGTATATGCCATGTTTGAGGCATTGATGTCTTAGATTTGACACATGGCACTGTCTTTAAACCAAGCTTTTGATAGTGGGCTAATGTGTACATAAGGCCTAAAATATGGCTGCAATGTCCAGAGCCTGCTTTACATGTGCAGTTAGAACTTTCAACATTGGTACAAGCTGCAGCTTTTAGGGCAATTTGTAAATTATGTGGGGGATCATTTTTCCTCATAGAAGGAAAGCACTTGGCTCTAATACAAGCACCAGTGCCCCCTGATGTACATGGTCTCACTGAAACAATAGAAGAAGCTTACTTAGCTTCCTTGTAAATGAAAATTGATAAGGAAACAGAAATAAAACAACCAAGGACAAAATGAAACTGATTTCAAGAAATGATTAGAAATTTGGACAAATAAAATGAAATAAAAATGAATAAAAGAGATAGAAAACCAGGTTGGGATTTATTTGCTACATTAGTAGGAAAGCAAAAGATTCGGATGATCTTTTTTTTTTAATTTATACATGTATTGAATGTAAATTTAAGCTATATAAAGACTTGAAATTGCCAGATTTCTTGGTATATAACGTTACACCTCTACAGGACTTTGACATTTGTGAATATGGTAGTGTGGAACATGTTACATGTACATATTGACTAGGTTTTTAAGGAGGAAAAAAATAGGGGAAAAAATAACCCTGATGCAGTGCATAAATTCTAAATTATTGTCTCTGGCCTCTTCAACATACATTTCCCAAAGGATTGCTTCTTTAAATCTGCATGTATATTCACTTTATATCCTAGTCATCGTCTCAAGCCACGGTCCGGAGTCCGCATATAGCTCTCTCCTACAGAATGGGAGGATTGTACATTTTGGCCGTGGTTTGCGATGATGTATCCTAGTGTGCACAATGAAAATATTGAAATCTATTGATCTAAATCATAATCAAAGCTTGTCTTTCATTCTTTGAAGGTATGTAGCACATGTATGTACATGTGTGCATTATTCAATCTGATTGATAGTACACCTGTACATGTGCAGGCATTGAAAATGCAATTGCAACTACATGTATATAATTTATACACAATAACATTTATTACATGTATTTCAAATGAAGCATTCTAACCAATACTGAAACCAAGACATCACGTACATCGCAACAAGGTTGATAAATAAAAGGTTAAGAATCCTAAAATTTGAAATGTGTTTGTATATGTGTACATGTATTTGAATTTAGTTTATAGTACCCTCCGGTAAGCATTTACATGTAGTAACCATCAAATTAAAGTTCTGTATTAGTATATATGCATACCAAATTTTAAAACAGTGCTTTGTTTACATTTAAAATTCCATGTTCTATTAATGAAATGCCTTGCAATTTTCAAAAGGAAAAAATCAATCAAAATACAGGAATATCAAGACATATAGATAATAATTAAAAACCAAAAAAAAAAAAAAAAGGAAGAAAGAAAAGAAAACAAAGACATATATCAAATGAAAATAGTTTAAATTTATTTATTAACAAAATAAAAAAAGTAATGTGTTTATAAATGACACAAGGTAAATAATCACAGCATCGATAACGTCTACCTTAAATGGACTTCATTCTTTGATAACTATATAAGCCACGCCCACTTTAGTGCACGTACATTTCACATAACGTGGACATAAATTTCTTAATTTATATCATTTTTTTTCTTTAAAAATGATAACTAAATGTATGTGTTCTCTACTTGTGGTGAATATTTATTGTTTTCCATTCAATGAATTTCAGTAATAATGACAGATATCAACGTAAAGAATTCTATGAATGCTGTCCGATGGTCCATCGTAAAATTGTAAACAAACCTTCAATATCATGAACATATCCTTCAGCAAAATTGCTGTATCCTCTTTTGAGAGATTTATTCGGGATGTTTGACGTGGTAGACCATGCCGATATTACATCGTCGGTTATCCTTGGTACGCTTGCGAGAGAGCGCGTCCAAGCTGAATGACCTTCGCCGCACTTCGCCATTTTCTCGTAGTGAAGGACGCTAGTTTGTCAGGTCAGCCTCGGTTTCGTATTTTAATGGCGGACGCGTGAATAGAGTGTATATAATTTAATGGATAACACCGATTATCTATCCACTGGGGCTATGATTCGGACAATCAAGAATCTACTTAACCTCGGGAAGCTTTCATATTCGTTTGAACTTTTCTGGCAACGTGGCTTTTGATAAGACTATTTTTAAATAGTGTTTCTTACTGTAGTGTAAAACTTTGTTTCCTAGTTATGGCCCCAATACACCCTTGGGGGTTCTTGAGAAGATTTTACAATGAACCAGCCTTTGTAATCCCTTTACCAAATCAAAAAAAAAATTAATGGCAAGTTGAAATGGCCCTGCGGTTCTTGAGAAATTGAGAAAATATAATGTTACAAGTTTTATGGATGTCAAACAACAAGTCCACGGTCAGAAACACGTTAAATTTCTATGGACATGCAGTACAGTTCTCAGAAACCTGTAAAATAAAGCGCTGAAAATGGTTCGTTGTCATGAAAATACAGGTAAGGTTATGAAAAATCCGCCTATTGTCATTAAAAACAGACAAGCAGTTCTTTAAATGATGGAATAAAAAAATAATTCTAAATGGTTTCCCCTTTTAACGAGGACGGTGGCTATTCATTTCAACAAACTTGAATCTCTTTATCCAAGGATACTCTATGGCTCTGGGAAAATGTTGAAAATGTGGAGAAAAAATAAAAGACAACAAACAACGCACTTTATACAGAAGCCAGGCACACATAAATAAAAAAAGATTTTATTTTGGGGTTAGCTAATTGTCATAATATATATCTCTTTGTGCCAAAGACTTTTCGTATTACATGTATATATATCAAGGACAATACAAATACATAGAATAAATTATGATTCAAAGATTGAAAAGAAAATAAATTCATTCTTTCAAAATAAATTGATACACAATAACATATATTCAGTTCTATAGTAAATTGATTTCATTTAAACATTTTTGTTGCCTTAAACTTTACTGGGATTTGGTAAAAGTTCCATTTCCCTACCTACGAATTATTTCAAACATACTAACATGTATGAGTTTTAGCTAAAAAAAAAAAAAGAATAAACACAGAGAAAGTATAATAATTAGGGGGGGGGGGGGGGGGGCGGCGAAATAAATAGAAAAAAATTATTAAATATTACAAAAGATGTACAGAAATTTCTAGAAGTAATCATTGCATCAAACAAAACGGCCGGGCTTTTTAATTAATGTTTATTAAGTTAAGTACAAGTTTTAACGGTATGTTAAATTATTTCCTAATTAAAAATTAAAAAAAACATTTTAAAAATAGATGAGGATTCAGTTCTCAAAACAAGACATAAAGAGTTCCATTCTCAATAACAGCGGGAATTAAATTTGACTTATGCGTTTGTAGTATGCATTTGGGTTTGTTGAAGTGAGTGAATTTTTCGTACTGTAACCTGATGAATAACAACAAAAATTTGGCTTATGTCAATCAGATATTCAGGAACTTGGCTACTGCAAATTTGTACATTTTTATTACTCTGTAAAGTGCATCTTCATTACATCTACTGAATTCATTGTATTCAGTCGCACCAGAATTACATAAAAAATATTAAAATGTGAAGCTTCAATCAACTTCTTAATCAATGTCTATGCCTAATTTTTTGTTTGCTTAAAGAAAAGTTGAACAAATATTTCTGATCAATGTGTATGTAACTATCAACATTTTTATATCACGAAAGTTTAGTATATATCAAGAGTTGTTCTTTTTCAGGGCGGAATATTTGGAGAAAATTTGTTGATGCTTTCACTTTGATGTAAACAAATGGGAGATCCACAATGCCGCTACATCACGAAAAAATACAACTCATTACCGCTACATTTTTTTTTCAAATTTTCGACCCATCATTACTGCTACATTATTTCAGTTGAAAACAACTCATTGAATCAGCAAGGTATGTAGGTACGGAATATAAGTTTCGATCACAAAGTCAAATAATTCAACACAATGTTTTACAGTAACTTCTTTCATTCTAAAAAATTCGGCAATGTTGACAGAAGTTAAGTCTGATGCTTAGTTTGTCATAAGCATGCCAAATATTAATGATGTAACAGGTATTTGCTGAGATAGGTATTCGAGTCAATCGCGTGTATTTAATGAAGAATTCCACTATACGTCTTATGCATTGTTCATTGCAACTGCGTGTCCTGGCTTCAACACTGCTTTTTTTAATATATTTTACATCTAACTTGACTTCCTTGACATGAGTGTCTGTAACATTTCATTATGTTCCATGTCAAGCTTTTGTATAATAGATTCTTCATCTTCCATTTTCAAGGTCAGCATTTCAATATCCTTAATTTCAGTCATGTATTTCTTTCGAGTGAAGGATTCCAATCTTTGACAGATATCTGACATCATTGACCAAGCTTTTGAGGGGTAGAAGCTGAGCTCACATGTGCAGCCAATCTATTTCGTATAAACCTAATTCTCTCAATATCGTCACCCACTGTCACCTCACCTGCTTCTGGCTGGTATCCTCATTTTCCTTTTGTTGGTTTTGGGATCGTTAAACAAATGCTTCTTATCATCTTGTATGTAAAGGAATAATCAAATTCCTTTTATCATGCATTTTTTGCTTTTTTCAAAGATCTTCCTGATCAAGGTTCAACTTCAAATTCTTCCGGTCTTTGCCTGATAATGAATTCACCTTATTTTCAATATCAGAAGGGGGTACTTCTGATTTTAGAATATCTCTGTAGGCCTGATGTAAGACATCATTTGTTGCCATTCCAAGTTTGGCAAATCTGGATCGCCCCAGAAGATCTTGTCCAGAAGCCGTCGAAGTGCTACGATTACTGATTTGTCTGAAAAAAAGATTCCACATATTTAGTTAAAAATAACAAACATCTTTAAAGATATATATAAAATGACAAAGAAAATTAAATGGTAAATTAAATCTGACGTATAATATTTTTCTTGGACATGAAGATCCTGCATTGAATATAAGTGGAGACAGTATTTAATGAATAAATTAAATTTGAATGTTGCTAAGATCTCATTGTCATGCATCATTATTCGATAAAAGAAATTATCAGAGTTGATAGATTGGTTTACATTTTCCAAATATACGATTTCTGTATTGATGTTGTATTATATATTTCAGAAGAATTACCTGTTCCCAATATTTTTTTTTATATCTTCTGTGATGATACGATACGTTTTTTTTGCCGGACAGGATGGACAAAGAAAAGTTTCTTTGATAAACTTAGACTCACTAATAGCAGAGCTTTCTTTGCTGTCACAAAATCCAGTAGATTTGCATTTGAATGCAACCCGGAAATCCGAGTTTTTTTGGAAAGTGTTGGAGAGGGAGTGTAATATACGCTCAATGTTTTCTCTAATCTGGTGACAGATTGAAACATTAACTTTTCTATCCACAACAAACACCTGCAAATGAATTTCTGATTGAGTCATTCCAAGCATGATGTTATGGTGCTGGTCATGAAACACTAAAATGGCTGCAGTCTGGTAAATGCATCCTCTTTCTTCATCTGTTAAAATCTCCCAAGGAATCTCCATGCACGTTGCTGCAAGACGATGGAAAATTTCAATAGGAAGAACATCAAATGTGTAGCAAAGGATGGACGAGGCAGGGTATGATGAAAAACAGTCAACTGCAAATCGAATCTTGTTCATACACGGGACATACCATATTTTGTCGCTCATTTTAGCTAAGACTCCTAACTTCTCCATGTACATCATGATATCCTCTTTGTGCTCAAGGTAACCATTGTTGTTCATTCCCCCATATGGCAGATAGCAGTTTTTCACTTAACTCTACAGTTTCATCGAATTTGTCCAATTTGAAATGGTGACTTTGAATGAGTTTGTTAATATACTAGTTTCATCAACTTGTTTTTTTTTCTATACATTAAGCTTAAAGTATCAAATCCTACATACACAATCATTGCTATTTGATTATGAATAAGACTAGTTATATGTTATAGAAAGTTCATGTAGTTATTTAATTACTCCATTCATCCAATGAGTAATGCAAATATTTTAAACCTCCTTGACTACATTTATCTATTTTAATAATCCTTATTTAATTTTTTTCAAAAGGTAATTTTCTAGTATCAGGAAGCTTAAGGCTAATCAAGAACGTCTTTCCAAATTCTGCAATGTGATATTCCAAATATTTCACCCTACATGTTACAAAAACATTCTTATTTATATCTTGCTAACTTTTAATCTTCAATGTACTTTTAATTTTTTGCATATCTGAAACAAGAGAACGCAATATCTCCAAATTGATAACATCTTCCTCTTTCAATGTCAAATTTTGAATTCTTTTAAGGCTGACCAAGTAATTCTTTCCAGTGAAGGTTTCCAGTCTTTGGCAGATATCTGACATCATTGACCAGGTGTCATCGAATTCTGTCTGAGGGGTGGAAGCTGAGCTTACATGAGCAGTCAAACCGTTTCGGATTGACCTAATTCTCTCGATATCATCACCGACTGTTTCCTCTCCTGCTGCAGGCTCGTCTCCCCATTTTCCTTTGGTTGGTAAAGGAATCTTTTTACAAATGTTTCTGATCAATGAGTATGTCAATGAAATATCAAAATGCTTATATCCCAAATGATTGGCATCTATTAAGAGTTTTTCTTGTTCAGGGCGCAATCTTTTGTGAAAATTTGGTGATGCTGTCACTTTGTTATAAATAAGGGAAGGGGGGACCTCCATCTCTAGTATATCTCTGTATGCTAGATTCAACACATCATTTGTTGCCATTCCAAGTTTGGCAAATCTAGATCGGCCCCCAAGGTCTTGTCCAGAAGCCGTTGAACTGCTGGGATTACTTGGTTGTGTCTGAAACAAGATACAACCTTATTTATTTAATATTACTAACGTAAACCGCTTTTAGAGGAAACATATTAAAAAACAAATAAAACAAATCATATTTTAAATTAGATGTAAAACATAATTTCTTTCTTGGAAATTAAGATCCTAAAGTGGATATAGGTGGAAGCAGCATTTTATGAATAAATTAAATTTGAATGTAGCTATGATTTAACAGTATCTCAATGTCATATAATCATTCAATAAGAAAATGATGAATTGATGTAGTATTATACTAAAGGCGCTTGACGTTTTTAACCTTTCTCTTTATAAATAAAAAAATTCCCTACCATGATAATAAACCAGGTCAGACACGTAGCCATCTTAGATGTTTTTCAGATCAGCTACCTCACCTCGATTTTTAGTCTACAATATGTTTAAAATAAACAGATACAACCCTTTCCTTGGAATACTTAGCTTACGTATGCCTCCACTTTCGGGCAATCCAACTCAAACCACATTAAACCCTCTCTAATCTTTAAAATATCGCTTCATACTCAGTCTACTGCTACCGACTCGGTAAAAACTTAAAAAAGGGAGGCCGGAAGTTGATGTTATTATGTAAATGAAAATTCCCTCTACTTAAATTTGATTGCGATTAATTACTAAAGTATTTATATGAAACATACCAGTAAAACTGTTCAAGCTCCATTATTTGTGTGTATTTTATTTTTCATGCTATAGATTTACATGATGCAAACAGTTCGTTTTCTTTTTCAAATATTACCACAATTTTAATATTTATAACTCTTAAGACATGTAAGATATCAACCAAACAGAAAAAGGCTTTCCCGGATTATGACGTTCTAACATAAACTTCCGGCCTCCCTTTTCCAAGTTTTTACCGAGTCGGTAGCAGTAGACTGAGTATGAAGCGATTATTTAAAGATCAGAGAGGGTTTAATGTGGTTTGAGCTGGATTGCCCGAAAGTAGAGGCATAGTTAAGGTAAGTACTCCAAGGAAAGGGTTGTATCTGTTTATTTTAAACATATTCATGATATTGTAGACTAAAAATCGAGGTGAGGCAGCTGACCTGAAAAAATCCAAGATGGACACCTTGTTTATTATTATAGAAGGGAATTTTTTTTATTTATAAAGAGAAAGGTTAAAAATGTCAAGCGCCTGTGTATTGTACATTTCAGAAGAATTACCTGTTCCCAATATTTTTTTATATCTTCTGTGATGATACGATGCTTTTTGTTTGCCGGACAGGATGGACACAGAAAAGTTTCTTTGATAAACTTAGATTCACTAATAGGAGCGCTTTCTTTGCTGTCACAAAATCCAGCAGATTTGCATTTGAATGCAACCTGGAAATCTGAGTTTTTCTGGAATGTGTTGGAGAGTTTGTGTAATATACGCTCAATGTTTTCTCTAATCTGATGACAGGTTAAAACATCCACTTCTCCCTCCACAACAAACACTTGTACCTGAATTTCCGATTGAGTCATTCCAAGCATGACGTTATGGTGCTGGTCCTGAAACACAAAAATAGCTGCAGTCTGGTAAATGCATCCCCTGTCTTCATCTGTAAAAATCTCCCAATTAGGAATCTGTATACACGTTGCTACAAGACGATGGAAAATTTCAACAGGAAGAACATCAAACGTGTAGCAGAGGATGGAGGAGGCATGGTATGTTGAAAAACAGGCAGCTGGAAATCGCATCTTGTTCATACAGGGGACATACCATATTTTGTCGCTCATTTCAGCTAAGAGTCCTAACTTCTCCATGTACATCATAATATCCTCTTTGTGCTCAAGGTAGCCATTGTTGTTCATTTCCCATATAGCGGATAATAGTGCTTCATCTAACTCTCCAGTTTCATCAAATTTGTCCCATTCTGAGGCAAATTCAAATAAATCTTCTTTTGCATGATTTTTATCTGTTATGACATTTTTAAATGCATCTGCAAACCACTGAACATCGAGAATAATAAAGTTTCTAAGAATTTGCTGATCGAAGTGTATAATTTCTTTGACGTCATGGAAGAACTGCAGCATGGGACTCATATCTTCCGTAGTGTGGAGCTTTATTCCCTCTGGCAATGTTTCATTGAATGACTCAAGTTCACCTCTGCTCAAAATCTTGCAGATTTTCTTTTCCTGAAAGAATGTTTCGAACATAGCCCATGACTGTGGAAGCTCTTCACCCCAGTGATCGAGCTTGCAAACAATATCAGCAATGGACAGCTTGATTTTTTCAATGCTTTCATTATCATGGAAACCAACTGCAAATCGTCTCTTCACATCAATATGTTTTTGCAATAATTTCTTCTTCATGTCTAGAGTCTTCCATACTTCTCGGAAAAACAATTCTTTTTCCTAACAAAAACAAAATCCTTATTTGAAAAAAAAAATGTCATGGTAAAGAAATGCTCGTAATCATACAATAATGTTTAAAATTTAGATCCCACAGATTTCATTACACACAAGCTTAAGTATACTTGTATATATTATCTTAAATATTTATAACAGATCAGAAAAACCATTACAAAGTACAATATTTCTGTAAACAGTAAATAACGATATATAAAATTCACTTGTATTCTCAAAAAAGAGAAAATCAAATTATTAATTCTGTGGTTTAATTTATAATATATCCATGAAACCAATAACTTTTAAAAAAACATTGACATTAATGCCTTTTATCTATCTCTGAGGCAAATCATGAGGTATATGAGTAGGTATATAAGATAAAAGGCCCATGGGCCATATCGCTCACCTGAGCAACTCAGCTAAAATAAATTTGTACTTTATTATGTTTTTATATTGACGATCAATAATTGTTTTCTTGTTGTTATGAAGGATTTAACGACTTTCTATGTATTCCTTCATCAAACCTTGATCACCCACTCTACCCATGTTGTAATCATGTTTTGAACAAACTTGAATCTACACTACCTGATAATGGTTCCATATAAATATGAATAATCACAAAATTGCTGTTCTCTAGAAGAAGAATGTCGAAGTTTTTTTTTTCTATGTAATCCTTTTTAAAATTTGGATCACCCATTATGGCACAGGCGCGGATCCAGGATTTGGAGTTAGGGGGGGCGCCAAAATTAGGCAAGGGGTCTGGGGGCCGCCTTGAGGCCCCCAGTGGATCCAGAGCAAAGCCCTGGTGGGGACCCAGAGGGCGAAGCCCCCGGAAGCTCCTGGATTCTTGAGATTATGAAGGGTTAAAATGAGGTCTTCCAAAGCCCTGGTGGGGGCCCAGGGGGCGAAGCCCCCGGAAGCTCCTGGATTCTAGAGAATTTTAAGGGTAAAAATGAGTTCTACCAAGTAGACATATTTGATTTACGCTAACTTTGGCAATTTTAGGGGGGGGGGGCGCACGCCG